CAGTGTATGTATATGTGAAACTACGAGATATATATGTATATACTACACTGTACATATAGTTCATGTATCTATATATATATATATATATATATGTAAAGAAATTCGAATACGAAAGTGTAAGGGTGAATTGTGAAGAAGGTTAGAGTTACAATTAACGGGAGTCAATTCGCGATTAAACTGAGGAACATTTAAATAAACTCGAACGATTCGTCAAGTGTAGGGGGGGTTGGTTAGTACCTACTCTTTTATATTATAGTATAAAGAAATAAAAATGTGATTTTTTTTTTCTCAAATTAATTAAATACCTCGCTGATGGTAAGGTTGAATTTGTCGTCTAAAAGGGTAATGCCCTATTGGAATGTGTAAGCAAGGTACAAGAGAAAGAACGGAACACACAGAGAAAGAGAGAGAGAGAGAGAGAGAAAAAAAAAAAAGATGGAAAGACTTTGAAATATTCATTTGAAACCGGTAAAGGGGAAGGAAACGTTTAGGTGCATTTTTTTTTTTTTTTTTACGAACGATACCAAAAGTACTTGGCTGTTAGCGTACACGTACCGGAAAGCAACTCTTGCGGGATTGGATTAGAGTACCCATTGGCTGTGACGAACTCGGTTAACATTGGTGCATTTTAATTATGGTCACCCTCTAGCTTAGCTCTAGAAAAACCCTCTCCCCCCCCCTCCTGCCTCTCACCTAACTTAAACTACCAGTCGACTTATTTCTTCTTCTTCTTCTTCTTCTGCTTCCACCAACGCACTCATCCTTGAGTACTATACGCTATTACCGGGGTTTCCCTGAGATTATTCCTACTAATTATTTTAATTACGCGTGCCTACGAAACCGATTTACCGAGGAAAACGTTCCTAGACTCCAAAGTGTAGTAGTAATGGTGGTTAGAGGTTATGCTACGAGCTTATGCGCCATCCATGTTGCTAAGAATCCTATCCCCCTTGCTAGTGCTTTCCACCATTCCACTTTTGCATGCTTCCAAGCAAATCAGAATGAGAGAGAGTGAGAGAGAGAGAGAGAGAGATTATATAATTTTCTGACTTTTCGACAAGTTATTTCACTCTTACCTAAACCCTTAGTTCCCCCATCACCCCTACTTATTTTTCTATTTCGTTCAAATAACACCTCTGGTAAAACTAGATAAATCTTTTTGAAGTGACATTTCGAAAAAAACCGCACTAAGTTTCGGAAAAAACCTCACTACTTTTCGGAAAAAACCTCACTACTTTTTGGAAATAACCTCACTACTTCTCATTCTCTCTAAACTTAGTTTTTCGAAGGTTTCACTTCTAGCACGTGTGATCTACCGTGCTACGTGTGATTTAGCAAAAAGGGAGATGGGTTTGGTAAATTTATTTGTTCATTGGCAAATTTTGTTATTTTCTTTTATTATTCGTTGGTAATCAACTGTGTCAGATTTTGATTTTTCTTAGGGTTATTTTGAAAAGAAGTTCGTGTACTATGATTAAAAATATTAAAAAGAAAAGATCACGCAACGATGTTTTAATAAAATCACTACAAGGTGTACTAAGATGTGCGAATAAATAATTATTAATTATTATTAACCTTTTTGATTTTTCATTTTTTTTTTTTGCTACCTTGCGTTATAATTTAAAAATTCATTTTAACAAGTAGCGGTAAGTTTTAATATAAAGTGGCAAAAGATGTTGTAATAGTTGGTTGCGGTGTGGTTGAACTTAGAGGAAAATCCCCGAGAGCCTCGTGAAAACATTTTTTACATGAGAGGGTGTATGAGCTTATAAATAACGAGAACGTTTTGTCCTTTATTTTTTTTCTCAAGATCCCTTTTCTGTTCTTTTTTTTTTTTTTTTTCTTAACTACAAGAATGTTTTGTATCTTTTCACTGATTCTTCTCACTCATCGTTCAGTTTCGTTTCTTACTAAGACTACCCTAAACCATTCTGTTTCTTTTGTTCGATTAATTTGCAAAAATTAAACGAGTTCATATATAGGTATACAAACATATATATATATATATATATACTAGGTTAAGTCAACGAATTACCTTATACCGCTATCTGTGAGAATCTTATCGAACTAACAGAGATAATCATAACACGTTGTTAATAAACAAATAATCTATCCTATCTTTCAAGTTGAATGAAAATACATAAAGTGTGCAAAATTTGATTAAAATCGGTTCAGTAGTTCAGGAGTCCATTGCGGACAAACAACGTGACACGTAATTTATATAYATATATATATTAAGATATGTAATACATACTATGGGCTTTTTCAAAATATCAATGCACAGTTAATTTGTTTCGTTGCGTGCAATGTGAACATATAAAATGAAAATCCGATTAAAATCACCGATATAATTTATTTTTATATTAATCGTAATGTTCATCAAATAATTCGTTACATCGTTCGATATTTCTCAACCATATATTTCATACGTTTTATTTTAACTCGTATAAAATCCTCGTTAACAATTTTTTCATATTTTACCATTTCCACGTTATGAGTTTTTCTTTTTTCCAAATTTGAATTTAAACTCATAGCATGAATATAATATTATTAAAATTTGCCTACTATGTTCTATGATGATGGAATTATTAAAAAGGTGTATATTATTAAATAAATATTTATATAAAGGGCGCTTTATATATCCCCGTTAAAGCCTATTGATGGCAATAATTCACTTTAGATCGTTTATTGTTTCGAGAATTAATTAGCGATCGAAACGTGGCAACTCGAATAAACTTGTTAGGCTAATTAATTTGCAGTATCAGAAGCACTTTGCATTTGACATTGCTGATCTCTCTCTCTTTCTCTACTTCTCTTGTTTGCGGTGACTCCGAAAGGTATAGTTTCCAAATTATTCTCTCTCTCTCTCTCTCTTTCCAATATTCATTCTCTATTTCCAATAATCAATAGGAATTATTATTGACGAAATATTCATCAAAATAATTAATGAGTTTGACTTGTATTGACTCACGAAATCCTTTAAAGGGAATATTATCTTACTAAATCGATGTTTAATTTGTCGATAATTGATCTAAGGTAAGATTGAAATCAACAGGAAGAAGAAGAAGAAGAAGAAAAAGAAGAAGAAGGGAAAAATAAAAAAAAAAACCTAAACGTTTGATAGTAGTAGTAGCAGTGTTACTTCCGTGAACGAGGGCTAATAACCCGGGAAGTTAATTACGGCCGTAAACTGCGAAAAGGGGTTTGTTTGACTACCCCATCGCACCAGGGTAGCTGACATAAGGTGCCCTCGTTACATTGGCCATGCCCGACACCCTACTACTAGACACCCCTCACCTCACTCTTCTATCTATCTATCTATCTCTTTTCCTTTTTAGTGTGTTGCTCTTTCGTGAAAAGCTTTCTCTACCTTCATACTCTTCAAATTCCAAACGAGAATCCCATATAAAGTTGATTTAATGCTGTTATGGTAACCTTTGACATAGTACGAAACAAATGAGAACAACACGCCTTAAACCCCTTACTTATTATTTTTATAGAAAATCTGATTAGAGTTTATAATACGTTTTTATTTTTTTTACTTTACCCTTAGTTTACTTTAATATATTAAATATAATATACTAAATATATAATATATAATATAACAAATATACTATATATACAAATATACCAAATACCAAATACCAAATACCAAATATATATTTTGATAAATTATAAATAAATAAATAAGATAATATAAATATATTATACACTATAAATAATATATTATAATATTAAATAATAACATTTGAAAAAAAAAACAATTTCAAACAATCCAATATATTAATATAAATCATATTAAGTATTTTGTTTATAATCCTTACGATAATAACTTAGTATTAAAAAGAAAGAAAGAAAAACCATATATATATATATATATTAAAACGGGAAAACTTTGGTTAATATCTTCGTAGAATATAATTCGTGATAAGTTGAACGTTGTAGTAGTGGTAAAGTAACAGCTAAGGAAATGTACACCTCCTTTTGCGAGCCCTTTGCGGGCTTCCTGAAAGAACAATGTTCACTTACTTCCACGCACTTTCGAAACTAAGTAAGAAAGTAAAACCTCGGCGTAAATCTAACCCACAACCTTCCACACTCCCACCTCCCATATTCTCCCTTACGTATAATTAGCTATAACCACGATAGCGGTTATGAGAGGCCAACGCTCGTAAACGTCTCGAACACGCGAGAAGGTGCGCAACCTCGATGTTTACAGTCTTTCAAATAGCGTGGGTGCTTTGAAAGAATCTTATCGTTCATATATTATACTTACGTTTACAGTTACTATAATACTACTGTATCATATTAACTTCTTTTTACGTTAACTATCCTAATTTTTAGATTAGGTTAATTAACGTGGATTTTGTCGTTTTGATTTGTTATTTTTGATTAGTTTTTTGTCTGTTAATTTTGTCTAATGTTATTTCATTTATTTATCCTGTATCACTTTTTGTAATCTACGTTTTTCTTATTATCAAACAAATTTTTTTATTGTATTAACGATTTACAAACTAACGAGAATAATTTACGTTTATTACGTTCGGACGGAAATAAAAGATTGAAAATGGAATTGGAGGGGGGTATGAATCATAACATTGATGGATTACAAAAGTGAAACGATAATAAAAAAGGGGAGGGTGGGGGTTTATAGATAAGTCAAATTCCGTTATTCATATTTTAACGCGAACAGATTTATCACGAAGGAAAAACAATCAGGAATCTCTTTTTTTTTTTTTTTTTTTTTTCCTTTGCTTTGCGTAATCATACTCCAGAAGAATAATCCGGTATGCAAAAAAATTTATCTCGACGAGGTACTTCATTTTGTTTATCGATGTCTATCTATTTTTTTTTCATTATAACCGATAGATAATATATCAATGTATTTACCTACTTGACATATTTACCTTTTTTTTTTATTTTTTTTATTTTGCAGAATCGATTACTATAAATGATCGATCGATCGTATTGTTTGATTCAGTTCAGTAACAAATTCGAAAATGTGGCATACTGTAGCTAGAGTAATATTATTGGGCATCATTTGCCTGATTTCCGTAACATCAGCTGTAAATAACGATTGGTATAAGAACAGTTTGGTCTATCAGATCTATCCTAGAAGTTTCAAGGACAGCAATGGAGATGGTATAGGTGATTTGAACGGTATTACTAGTAAATTGGAACATATAAAGGATATCGGTGCTGATGCACTATGGTTGTCACCAATTTTTACGAGCCCTCAAGCTGATTTTGGTTATGACATATCAAATTTCACGGACGTCAATCCGGAATATGGTACATTGGCAGATTTTGACAAACTCGTGGCAAAAGCTAAATCACTTGGTCTCAAGGTATTATTAGATTACGTGCCAAATCATAGCTCGCACGAACACGAATGGTTTAAGAAAAGTATTAAGAGGATTAAACCATACGACGATTATTATATTTGGAAAAATGCGACATATGTTAATGGTCAAAGAAGACCACCGAACAATTGGCTATCCGTATTCGGTGGATCCGCATGGGAATGGAATCAAGAACGTGGCCAATATTATTTCCATCAATTTGTTGCCGGTCAACCTGATCTCAACTACCGTAACATGGCATTGGATCAAGAAATGAAGAATGTTTACACTTTCTGGATGAACCGTGGGGTTGAAGGATTCCGTATTGATGCTATTAACCATATGTTTGAAGATCCAAGATTCTTGGACGAACCATCGGCAAACCGTCCCGACTTACCATCAGACGATTACGATACACTTAATCACATTTACACGAAGAATCAGAACGAGACTTATACTGTACTTGCAAGTTGGAGAAATTTACTCGACAAACATTCCGCTGATAAAAAAACCGATTATAAGATGATACTCACGGAAGCTTATACAGATTTTGATCTTACGGTTAAATATTACAATGCAGGTTCTACGGTACCATTCAACTTTATGTTCATAGCAGATCTCAATAATCAATCTACCGCTTCCGATTTCAAACTTTCGATAGATCGATGGATGAATCATATTCCATCTAAAGATACGGTAGCTAATTGGGTTGTAGGTAATCACGACAATCATCGTGTTGCTAGTAGATTTGGAATGAAACTTGCCGATAGATTGAACATGTTGTCCATGGTTTTACCTGGCGTAGCTGTTGTTTATAATGGCGATGAAATAGGTATGTTGGACAGACCATTTACTTATGAAGAAACGGTAGATCCAGCTGGTTGTCAAGCAGGTCCAAGTAGATATCACCTTAAATCGAGAGACCCAGAAAGGACACCATTCCAATGGGATGACACTACGAGTGCTGGTTTCTCAACTAATAACAAAACATGGCTTCCTGTTCATAAAAATTACAAGACGTTAAATTTGGCAGCACAAAAGAAAAGTCCTGTCTCTCATTATAAGGTATTTAAGGCCATGAGCGCCCTTAAGAAGAAACCTATTATCAAGGACGGTTCTTTAGAAGTTATCCTTGTTACCGAGAAAGTTTTAGGTGTTGTACGTAGGAACCAAGGTTCAATCGTGGTTCTGTTGCTCAATTTCTCAGACTACCCTGTTGAAGTCGATGCCAGAACGTGGTTGAACATTCCCGAACAACTTGTAGTCTATATTGCCAGTGTCGGATCTAAGATCAACACTGGTACTAGAGTCAATACTGCTTCTTATATTTTGCCTGGAGCAGCTTCTGTTGTTCTTGCATCCCCAAATGTCTTTTATTATTAGTTCCGAAAAGAAAACTTATCACAAGGTATTAAATATTGATTGTCTATAACAACAATAAAATTGAATCTTCTATTATTATGTTATTTTATTATTATTAATTATTAATTATGACGTTGTTAATTTGTTATCTCGTTGATGTACAAATTGATTAAATAATATTATAATATATATATATATATATATATATATTGTTTTATTTAACGAATTTTTGTAATTGGTTTTATTTATCAACACCACATTTCCCTGTTTTTTTTTTAACAAAAATCTGTCTCATTTTCTCTGTGAAAAACACTTTTCGATTTAACGAATTCGCATAATACGCGAATGCGTTTTCCAGCTTTCGAAGGTGGAGAAGAATCCTAAGCTTCGTAAATATTTATAATAAAGATATCCCCGAGGATAGTAGTAGTAGTAGTAGTTTCTCTCGTCAAAAGTATAAGAGCTTTTATACAGTAAGATCCTTCCTTCTAACCGTATACCATTCGTATATACAGTTTCACCACTTTGGCATAACTCTTCATGATCTCGTGGAAAATCCTAGTACGTATACTTTCCTAACTTCCAATATTTTTCCTACATAATTCTTTAGTCCAGTTATTATAATACTTTTCATTTTCTTTTGTAAATTTATGCGAAATCAATTTATGAATTTAAAACCTTGCTAAAAAAAAGAAAAAACAAAAAAAAAATATTAGCAACAAAATTGACGATAATTCCGTACAATTATTGAACGAATTATCGGATTATATAACTATATAATTATATAATAATATAAAATAAAATTATATATATATATAATAATAATAAAATATATTAGTATCGGAACGAATTATTTAATTACACAACACTTATTTTAATTGTTCTTATAATAATATCCTATAACAGCATGATGAGAGATAGTGGTGAGTGAGAAAGGGACAGAAAAAAGAATGCAAAAAGTTTCGTACGAGTTCGTCGACCCTAAAAGAGACCCTAAAAGAGACATATGTTTATTTCCTTGTTTTTTATTTTTTTATTTTTTTTCTCTTAAAAACGAAAAGAGTCGAAATAAAAAGGTAAGGTGAAGAAGTTGCGACGTTACATTATATACGAATTCGACGGGGGAGAGAAAAAAAAAAGATAGAAGAGACATAAGGGTTGAGTGCGGGGGGGGGGAGAGGAAAAAAAGGGTGTACGCGTGCGCGCGCATTGAACGATGATATACGTGTGGTGTGTACGTCGTGCGTATGCGTGTGCGCGTTGGTGGAAAATTTCAAGTTTTCATGCCAACATTCCCCATTTCTTCCCCACCCCATACACGCACATATACATATACATACGAGTATACAGTGCGGACGCAGCGCAGCACCAATCACGCTGAGTGCACATTCTTCAAGCTCTTTCTTTATACCTAACTCACTCTTCCTCTCGTTTTACAAGGAGACAGTCGAGAGAAGAGAGACCAACTCCTTCTTTCCAGCCCTCCCCCTCCCCCGTCCCCTCCTCCTCCTTCTTCCTCAACCCCATCTCTTTTTCCTCGTTTCCATATATATATATATATATATATCCACCCATTCTACTTTCTTTTTCTTTCTTAGATACGATACAACTTGCATGCATTTGGAGGAATGCCTTTACACATATGTACATATGTGTACACGCGAGTACACGGCCAAGATCGTTTCTTTCGCATATTCAATTTTTCTATCTATCTTTTTATCTTTTACTATTTCTTTTTATCTAAGTGTTTTTTTTTCTTTTTTTTTTTTTTTTTCAATGAACAACTTATATTAAATACTATTTTTCGTGATATCGTCGTATCCTTGTTATCTTTATTGTTAGATAAATAATAATTCAAATTGTTTTAGATATTTTTAACTATATTTCGTGATATCGTCTTATCCTTGTTAACTTTATTGTTAGATAAATAATAATTCCAATTGTTTTAGATATTTTAAAGTATTTTTCGTGATATCGTCGTATCCTTGTTAGCTTTATTGTTAGATAAATAATAATTCCAATTGTTCTTAATTATTTTTAATTATTTTTCGTGATATCGTCGTATCCTTGTTATCCCTATTATTAGAGAAATAATAATTGAAATTGTTTTAATTAATACCTTGCTTCATCACCTTAACAAACTTGATTTCTCACTTCCTATCTCTCAAGATTGTTCTTCCCCGTGGTTATTCCCTTTCTCTCTTAGTTATACATACGAATTCTCAGTTTTCGAGTATATTTGCTTACTTTGAACTATATCAACTCACGCACACACGCACACATACACACACACACACAGACATACATAGACACACATATATGTATGCTTTATCGATTAAAGTTCCTAATGCTCGTCAAAGAGTGTTTTCGATCTTAATCAACGCTACTTCGTCGAGTGTGGGATTATATTAATCGATTTCCTCTTTCTCTTTGTGTATGTATATATGTTTGTTTTTCTTTTACGTTCTTTCTAGTTGAATAATTTCCAAATATCTTTTCTCTCTCTCTCTCTCTCTCTCTTTATTTCAGTCGTTTAATCTCTCGTCACACTTATTGTCTTTCCTTGTTTAGGAAAACGTAGACGTTTGTCACCTTGAGTTTCCTGAAATAAACGAGCTCCGTGTCGTATTTAACGAAAGGACTAACTTTAACAGCATAAACGTGTTTAATACTCGAGTATGTTACATATACATGTACCCATTTATATATATATATATAGATATACAGATACTAACACAAAGATATTTAAATGCAAACAAATGTATTTATATAAATGTATAATCATTTTACTTTTTTTTTTTCATTTATTCATATCAACGTTTTGAATATCATTTATTATTATATTTTTATATTTCATATTCTTTTTTTTTTATCATTTTCGAATAGTAAAAAAAAATTGTCTTTTATTTCGCACGAACGAACGAGCTTTATTTTTCTTTTTCTTTTTTTTTTAGTCACGATATTATTACTCGTGACACTTGCTTGAAAGAGATTTCTCGAAACTTTCACTTCGTCACTTTATATTCCGTGCTAAGTTAGACGTGCATATTCTCTTATTCGTCTTTCTCTCTTACCATTTCTCTATCTCTATCTCTATCTCTATCTCTCTCTCTCTCTCTCTCTCTCTCTTTATTCTTTATTCTCATTTTATTTAATGTAAGAGCGAAACATCGCACTACGGGAGTGCACTTTAAGAAGGAGACTCGGACACTTTGAAATTCACTAGGGAAAATAGTAGATATATTCTTTTTGTTATATATATATATATATCTCGGGTGTACAAAACATTTTCCTAGAGATATCTCATTTTTGTTGTCTCTACATTTTTCATGTATTAAAGATGAAAGCAAATGACGAAATCGAGCATACAAAATTTCCCTTTTTTTTTCTCGAGAACTTTGGTTTCTGTGATTTTGTCAAAAGAGACACAGACAGACAGACAGACACACACACACACACACACACACACACAGGTCATTCTTATTCCTTAGAGGTAAGCAAACCAACGTTGCTTCTCATCTCATTCTCTGAAAACCACCGGAAACTTTCTTCTCGTTTCTATGTATTTCATAGTATATAGTATAGATATTTGTATGTACATGTATGTGTATGTGTGTGTGTGTGTGTGCATGGAAGAAGGAAAAAGATAACCCGCAGCATCTTAATTAACGTTGCTACCAACTCATTCGGCTTTTCATCCATTCCCTTACTTGCTGTTTCTTTATCTTCTTTCTCACTTGTACACTTTGTAGGCCTGGTCACTAGGGAATGTACTTTCAAAGGGAATACCAACCTGATCTTCGCTAGATTTCGTTTCCCCCTCCACGCCCCTCCCCTACCCCTACCCTCCTACCCCCCACCCGTTTCTTTCCGTTTCCTCCCTTTTACTTCTTATTCTGCTTCGTTTCGTTCTTTACACTCGTGTACCTTTTCAATACCACCAAACCCTTGTACGTCACCCTTCGAAAACCTTCAGTAAAGGGGTTATAACCGCATCAAAGAGCTTTCTTAAATCATAACCTAGGTGGACTTTTGAATCAAACGAATGGTTTATACATACTCGGTTTTTCTTTTCTTTTTTACTTTTTCTTTTTCGGAATCATTTCTTTCTTTGGTCCCTTTTTTACCTTTAACTAACTGGCAAAAAGAAATCATTCCCTTTGTCATTTCTTCTTGATAATATTCACCGGTAATATTACAGAAGCGACGAAGATTTAGAATTGAAAAAAAAAAAAAAAGAAAAAAAAAAACTAGAAAGAACATAATATACTCGTTTGACTCGCACGATGATCCTGCTGAGCCGTTTTTTTCTTTTTTGGTGTTTTACCAAATTTTCCATTTCATCAGTGTACAACACATATTTTTGTTCCCTTCTAAATCTTATTTGTTTCTTTTTTTGCTTCTCCCCAACCCCCCCCCATTCCCTTTTCTTCTTTTCCTTGAACATTTTTGTTTTTATTCTTTCTTTAATCCAGCCTAGCATTTACAACGAAATCCAACGAAACGTAGTCGAGGACGTGTAGTACAAAGCTATGCGAGCGAAAAGCTCGCATCGTTTCGCTCGAAAGAACGCATAACTTCGGTAGTCGAGACTATATGTGTGTATGTGTGTGTGTGTGTGTGTGTGTGTGTGTGTTAGTTGGTTGTGTCGAGCGTTTGCTAAAAAACATTTAATTGCAAAGCTCGTACTTTCTCTTCTTTCTCTCATTTCATATATATATATATATATATATATATATTTTTTTTTTCTTCTTTTTCTTCTTTCTTCGTTTATTATAATTCGGTAGTTATCCGATAAAAATTGTATTAGCATTTTCAACACTAATCAAACGACATAATTAATGAACGATATATATATTTTTTTTTTATATCCACCCCTCACTCCTCCTATTGCAATTTGTCTATTTCTTAATCAATTTATTTAATCGAACATCGTAATTTATTTTATTTTATTTTATTTTTTTTTTTCAAATTAAATCAGATCGATAAAACTTTTGTTTCGTAAAAATGAACTCTAGATG